GATGACGACACACATTTTCTTCCCGCTCGCCATGGGGGGGGGCCCCCAGCCACTGACTCAGAAGATCCTGCTTGTATTTCCTTGTCTGTGTGTCCTTGGGCTACTGTGAAATACTTTAAAGGGATGCTGTGAGAATGAGTACGACGGTGACTCTCAAGTGCTTACACTAGATGATAATGGGAGATATTTCAGCGATGAAAATAGAGATGGGACACATCCAGAACGAATGGGGAAGGAAACCCTCGCCCCAGCAGTGTAGGAATGAGGGATGCAAAGCTGATCACAGCTGCACCACGGAGGCAGGTCCCAGATGAGGATGGTGGTCTGAACCTCTCCATAGATAGGACCTGGGGGCTCTCCGGGATGGACAGATTCCCTCTGCCTCTGATGTAAATGTACAGGCTAAATGGGAAAGGAGAGACTGGAAAGTGCCTGCACTGAGGGTGCAGGTGGGTGTGCTGCCAGAGGACAGCTTCCCAGAATTACTGACCCACTGCAGAGATGAATGCTTAGGGACTACTCCACTGCTGATCACAGCCTCCATGGAGGGATATAACCAGCTCATCCCTTGGGTGAGCTGCTCCCGTATTGCTTAAGGCTTTCCAGGCTAACAGTGAGTCCCTGAGGGCAGCTCACGGCAAGGGGCTCTCGGTGGGGCAGTGCTCTGCAAGGCATCGGCAAAGGCACCGTGAAGGAAGGTGTGTCGGGTCGCCTTCCTGGGAGACTTAGAAATCTGCATTCTTCCTCTTGAGATTCGGAAATCTGCCATTAGCTGAGCTTTTAATAGGTTTATTTTGTTAACTCTTCGTATTTTTCTGCTGAGTCTGCTGTGCTCTGGTGGCTGACAAGCAATGCGCTGGCTGGAAGAAAACCAGGATGTGCCTGGGTATCTCTTACACCAGACCTAAATCCTCCCCATCAGCATCCCTGATGAGTCCAGAATGTGGCCTCCAGGTTCAGACCAGGGATAATTCAGCACATCCTCCAGCCAAGAACATCCTTGATACCCTATCAGTTTTGGCAATGATGTTTACTTGGCGAAGCCCATGTCTCTGGGACAGTTTGGATCACTCCTGGGTGGAGGCCTTTGCCCAAATCACAACAGCTGGTTTTGTGCCTCCGTTTTTGCACTGATTTCTGGGCTCTGATGGACCCTGAATCCCTTCCTGAGTGTAGCTTGTCACAAAACTGTGAATTTGCTTGCTTTCACATGAAATCAAGACCAGGTTTGTGCAAAAGCCTGGGTAATCTGAAAAGATGTTGAAAGATTCCGTGGCACTAATGTAAGGTTGAGAAAAGTTTGATTGTACACTCAGCTTGCCAGTAACCCATGAAGAATGATGGGCTGGTGTGAATTCCTGTGCACATACCTATATTTTACAGTTCAGGGTTTAACCTCTACCTACTGTACTTTCCTCCGTAGCCTCGCGAGCTAATTGACGTGTCCTGGACTCACACAGGAACCCAAAGAGCCAAACTGTGTGACAACCACATAACGTGTGGCTACGGACACATACATATAACAATCCAGTTAGCTATCAGACACCAATCCTATTTAGTCAAAATATTTCCTGTTTCAAGCATTTATTTTCTCAAAATGACAACCTGACAACAGTTTGGGTATGAGTCAAAGGAAAGATTACTTTCCATTTTCTGGTTGACTCTTACGCATCTTCTCGCAGGCTCTGGTCTGGTCTCAAGCTACAGGACAGCCTGTACAGAGAACTGAGCACACTCGATCAGCAAGGTTGGCACTTTTGATATCAAACTCCTCTTGACCAAGATTACAAAGCATTGCCAATAAGCTAAATAAACTCCTACTGCTAAGCAATGCCCCAGTTGACCAAAGCTTTTGACTTTTCCCATTGATTTGGGACCAGGAAGGTGACAGCCTTGATCTCAGTGGTCTCCACCACTGTCCCCATCCCACCACACAGATCCTCAGTGGTGCCATTACCTTGTTTCTGGTTGATGTCGGCGGGCAAGTGGGGCGAGTGGGAGCCGTGGCTGAAATGGTCGTTGCTGTAAGGGATAAGCGGGGTGAGCGGGTGGACTCCGTGGGATGGCTGCACGACGGGAACTTTGTTGGACTGCAAGACACAAGGAGGGAGAGGGCTCAGAAGTTGAGCTCCGTAAGCAAGGAGGGCCGGTGCCCTTTGCGGTCCTGTTGTTGCAAGCGAGGCTGGGAATTCCTAAAAGTCCCCAGTGTCTCTCAAGGGCAAGGCAAAAAAAGCCGTTGCCTACTTAAATAAACATTACAGCATCCTGCAAGAAAAATCCCAAATGCAAGCAGTGACAACAGCTGGAGACGATTGCATGGGTAGGTGGAAAACAGACCAAATCAACATGAAGTTTTCAAAATTCAGATGAACTTTTTTTTCTTTCATTTCCAGTATCTTTTATTCCAGGATGAATGCTACAAGCATTTTACCCAATGCATTGCTCTTGTTTTCTGCCTTGTGCAGAAAAGGGTCTAAATCTGGACTTTCACATCCTGCACATTCACTCTGAAAGCCACGCCTGGGCTTTCCTAACCGGGGCTCTCAAGCAGGGAGAGCCATGCTGCGGACAATGCCTTTGAAACCGTGACGTGGTCACCAGCGAGCACTCAGGTTGAAATTCTCCTGGGTCCAAGCTCCAGTGCTGGGAGAAGGACTGGAGGGAGCTGAGGCAATGCTGGGGATGCAACAAACCCAGGAAAATTTAAAAAAGAAAAATCCAATCTCCTCTTGCAGCTACTCCTCCTGGTTAAGCACAGCGAGGCCATCGGAGCCCAACGTCTTTGTAAAAGGCGCTTTTTTGTGAACACAACGGGGAGTACTTCTGCGTGTCGGAGCAGAGCGAGGGGAACCTGTTCAAAAGAGCTGTAAGGAAAACACACGCACACACACACGCACACGCTGCCATCTACCACCAGCCTCCTCGCCTCGAGCGTCTCAAGCTGCTCCCTACATGCCTGGTTTCGCCCATGGTTGCCTTTAAACCCAAACTGACTTTGCTTTGGTGGTGGAATGTTAGGATTTGTCCCAGATAAATCCAGAAAGAGAAACAGGAATGACAGCACCCCAAAATGAGGAGAAAATGAGAACAGGCTAGGTAAGCTCCAGGGGCTAAGAGCCGGGTATGGCTAGCCAGACCTCTTGTGTCCCACCAGGACACCTACAGATGATTTGCTGCTTGACTTTTGATAAGTCATTTACGATCTCTGGACTTGATTCACCACTTTGGTAATGATTTTGCTCAGGCAGAGTGAGTACAAAACGCCAGTCAGCTTTGGTGGAGGTGGTGCGGCTGGAGCTGATGGCTCTGGGGGACCTGTCCTGGACCTCTCCCTGCCACTCCGGCTGCTTGCACAGCAGCTCGAGATTCCTGGGCAAGTCCTGTGTTTTGCATCACTGCTCCGAGGAGGAAACCCATGGAGCGGAAAGGAAAACAGACTGATGGAGACGCCGCTTTACATCTGTCTTTCCCACAAAGGTTTGCTCATGCAAATAAAACCCAAGAGGCATGCAGGTTTGCATTTAAGAATGAAAACCCTAATTCATGATGCTTACCAGTTGTAGATTTACTGCGTACAGTGGGATACTGGGAATGTAACCCCCCTCCCCAGCACAAACTGGTGTGGTACAGGCGTTCCTATCCTACAGCAGGGCCATGGGCTATGTGGTTTTCCCATTGAGAGCGGGGCTGGCTCCTGCTCAGTTAAATACATGTTTGGAGCTCTGAGTTTTACTATTCTTGACCATGAAATGAGATAAAGAATAGCTTTTCAGTGATATTTCTAAAATTAGCTATGGTATAGCTTATTTAAGAGCCAGAAAGCCTAAATTAGGGATATGCAGTTCTACGTGTACGTTTTAACATGACACTGGAGCAGAATGAGCTCAGTGCTGAGCTGTTTTGAAAACCTCAACTTAAGCGCTTCTGCCATTCAAAGTGGGGCAGATCTTTCCTTCCCATTCACACCGGGCCTGATCCAAAGCACAGCACCATCCGCCAGCCAGCCTCGCTGCCTGATGACAGTTAACAGCTTTCAGAGCAGTGACAGAAGACACAGACCACTACAAAGGCAGTTGAACAGTCCTGATGCTGATCCACAGGATACCTCAACAGTGAAAAGCACAGAGCACATGCGGTTACAGCGAAGGCATGGGCTGTCCTTCTTCCCCATCAAAGCAGAACATGGTAGCTTGGCGGTACAATAGGTTGCAGCCCAGTTACTCAGATTTTCCATCAGTTCAGATGGGAAACAAGATGTTACCAGTAAGAAGAGCTGGCCTTCCCCATGTCCCTTCTACATTTGCACTTGCCTCGCTCAAAAACTTTTCTCCTACTCTTTAAAGGCATAAAAACCTGGTGGGGAAGCATGCTCAGGAGGAAGGCAAGACAAAAATTTCTGCAAGAGGCTATTCATCCCCCTCCTGCTTCCTCCATTTGGGAGTTCATCACAGGAACCCGTCTCCCAAATTGAACCAACCAAGAGAAGAAGGAAACGTTGCACAAAGATCTGGAGAAACAGAGAAGACTCCTTCAGTGTTGAACCCCGGTTTAAACACTGCAGCTGCTAATGGTCGCAGTCCATGGCCATGTCTGCAGCTCCCGGTCTTCAACAGATATGCTGTGGCTGCTGCACGCGTTTTCACTGTGAAATCATACCTTGTTTATAGAAATCTATATGCCAGAGAAATGGTATCAATTCCTCTTTTTTACAAGGTCTAGATTTAGTTCCTGCAAATCAGCTGCAGCACTTGAACTCTGAAGAGGCTTTCAAAGCCAGAACTTAGCAGCTGACAATGTCTTACGCCATAAAATTAACCTGATGTAAATGTTTTCTGCCGAGCGGACTGATTTAACACGAGGGCAGTTGGTTTGGTGTCCTCTCAGCAGGTCCCCTGGGAGGATGCGGGGTGGTGCTAGTCGGGGCATCAGGGCGATGTGCTGCGGTTTGGTGAAGCATCTTATTGCATCTCCTCCCCAAAGCTGTGTTTCAGTACAGCTCAGAGCGGTGGTGATGGAGCTGCTGGCTACCCACCCACCCAAAATAATGCAGGTGGTGCCCAGCACCACGGCCCCAACGCCAAGTCATCCCAAGTCACCCCCCATCCTTTGGCAGCTGCAGTGGGACACGAAAGGCCTCTGAGGACAGCTTTGTCTCACCTCTCCCAGCACAGCCCTTTGAGGACAGGTCGGGGAATGAGCTGTGCAGCCATGACCTCGCTACAGAAATGAAGAGGTGCATTTACAGCAACACCAGAATGGTATTTCCAGAGGGGACGGAGCAGCAGAATGGGTTTTGCAAGCCTAGAGGGCCTTCCTCCCTCTCAAATTTGCTGAACTGCAACTCTCCTGAGTGCCCACCTCCCCGGTGAGCAGTGCCTGCTCAGGTCCCCGTGTGCCTTGTGCCAGTAGCCGGTGCTGCTCTGCGCTCGGGCACACACCGACCCCGCCGTGCATCACCCTACTGGCATTAATCAGCCCCCATCAACCGGCTGAAAATAATTAAAAAAAAAAAAAAGATGGTGAGGGAAGAAGCCAAGAAGTTACTTTAATAACTAGAGGTAATTGGATGAGCAAAAAAGAAAACGCAGTCACATCAATTATTAAGAAAGACTAATTGTTGGCAAGGGAAAATTAGGAGACCTCACCACTCACACATGGGTGTCTGATGGTGACAGAAGCTCAAGGCTAGCTAGAAAACTCTCCTTTCGCTGAGCACACACAAACCCAGCAGGTCTTTCACATCAGGATCACCCTCCTGATCAGAGCTGCAATGTTCTTTGGCTCCGAGGTGCCTGACCAGGCACAGCATCCTTCGCCTTTGCTCCCATCCCACATTACTCGTGCCCAGCAAGGGCTGCAGCTGGGCTGCAGCATGCTCCGGCCACGGGCAGCTGCGGGGTTGTCCAAGCCTGCCAGCACGGTGCTGGTTGATCAGAACTATAAATGAGGTTTTTTAAGCAAAATGTGGGTTTTTCATTAGAAAATGGTGAGAGATTGTAATCAAACATTTTCTGGAAAGCACCTTGTGTTAGCAAGTATTTTGACTCATTTTTTAAAGACTGATCTTTTTAGTCCTTACATGTTAAAAATGAGTAGTTTTACTTTGCTGGCTTGACAGACTTTTTTTCTTTTAAACTTTAAAGCTAATCTTAGCAAAATGTAGCACAGAAGGTCAAAAGCCAAAATTTGAGTGAAATGATCAAACGGAAAGATTTCCATGAACTGCAATACTCTTTGGGTTTTTAGCTCTGTGAAAATATTAGAAAAAAATTGTAAAGAATTTTTTCTGTTTGGATCAGTTTAGGAAAAGAAACAAATAAAAAAAAAGAAGTGAATGTTTTGTAGCCTGTGAAACATATTTCTTGCTACGATTGAGAGCAGCTATCAAAAGCAGCAGTAGTCACACCAAGCTGCCTGGGTGGCTGCTCGGGATCCCAGCGTCCCGCCGGTGCTGGGCTGCACCGCTGCTCCTACGGACAGGAATTTCTTTAATTAATTTTCTGGTAGAAGACAATTCATAACTAAAATAAAGCACCTTCATTCTACTGCCCCTTCCAGGTTACACCAATCGAATACAGAAACTCATCTGACAAGGCTGATCTCAATCTGCCCTGTTGCACACAGGCACAAAGCATCCTTCCTAGGAATAACCCCTTCTCGGTTTTGATGACTATATTTCAAGAGTTTTTGTTTTCTCCAGATTTTGAACAAAAACAACTTCAGTGAAAAGCTGGCTTTTTTATAGTTTGTTTTTAAGGCAAAGTCACATAAATGATGCTGTTCTGTAGGTGAGAAACTTATATTTTACAGATTTCCCATATGTTTGAAATAATAGAATGAATTAAGACTTTGCTCTCACTTTATAAAAGTCAGCCCTAAGCCTGCAGGAGACATCAGCTAATTCTGAATGTGCCATATCACCTTCCTGCAAACAGAGGGTATCATTCACAGCATCACCCGCCTCCCCACTCTGAGTGGGGAAAACTCCACTCAAGTTTCTTCCACAGGATTTCGGGACATCTTAATCCTGCTATGCCACTTCTTTACGTTTTTTTACAAGACGTTTTAACAGCTACTCTGAAATGAGAGA